TTTTTTTTTTTTTTATAAACTCCCGGGTGATGAAAATGTATCCGGGTCCTCAATGTGGTGTGGAGGAGCTTTATGTAATGCATTAAGCCTTGCCATCACCAATTGACTTAACAGCACTGTGACTAAGAACTGGGAGTTTCTCTTAAATTGATTAAAAGATAAGAATTAGACTGTTTACTGGGCTGCCAAGAGACCCACAATAGCAATAAAGGACATGCAGAAATTTCTAGGAGGTTTGGCTGTGTTTTACATATAATGACAGTTTTCTATGTTCTCTGTGCAAATTCTGACTCATCAGGTTTATGGCAACCACAAAACAGGCTTAAATCAGACCAGACACTCTTGGTTTTCTTGAAAATGTTTCAACTCCAATCCAGGAAACTTGATCAATTCTAGCCGCTCGCACTAGTACCACCTGTAGCTGGGGTAATACTGTTTGTGAGCATATGGAGACTCTTCCTCCAAGGCACATTCCAAGAGATGTAAATCAATGACCCAGCCGTTGTTGTTAGTTGATCATTTGAGTCTGATGTTTGGTGTGATTTGTGTTCTTGTCCATCCGGATCTTAATGAGACTGCTTTAGTAATTTCTTTGGAATGAGTTACAATTCAAAATGGCTCCACCCCCCTTTCAAACTGTCTGTCCTCTCTGTCTAGGATCTAATTGGTCATCAAAATTATTTCCTTTGCTCCTGAGATGCAGATGTACTGCTTTTCTTGCCCCAAGCTCAGCCCCCCTTTGCCTCACCAAGCATTATTTTTAGTAGTTATTTACTAGTTGTTGTCTGGTTTCTTGATAGATAAGTTTAACTTAGCTTTATGTAGTTTTTCTGACTTTGGAATATATAATATAATATATATAATAATATATTGTACAATATTGTCAATTGTTGTACTCTATGGCAAAACCAAAGGGTTACTTTTTTTTGTATGCATGTATGTTCTTACACTCTACAGTACGTCCCAATGGTGTGATGCAATCTAACTGCTCACACTGTACGTCCAAAAACCACACTTGGGTTGTGTCCGAATGTCCGCCCTAACCCCTCAATCCCTCAATCACTATATAGAGCGGGGACTATATATGGAAAGATGTTTCACCTCCTTCCATGCTCACCAAACAGTCCAGGAAAGGTAGCTTGATGTTGTTGGCATCCTCTCTTGTGAATTTGATGTTGTGGTCAACCAAGTTGATGTATTTCTCTGAAGGTGTCAAAAGCTCTCTTTTCCATTTCTTCCATGTAAAGACTGGCTACAATTGGTGACACGGGAGATCCCATGGCACAACCGTGTTTCTGTCTGTAAAAATAATCTTTGAACTTGAAATAGATGGAAAGACAAAGGTCCAGTAGGGTGCAGATCTGGTCTGGAGTGAAATTAGTCCTGTCTTGTTTAGGTCACTCTCTTATTGAAGACGTTTCCTGACTGTTTCTACGGCCTCTGATATAGGTATGCACGTGAAAAGAGCAGAAACATCAGAAGACACCTGGGTTTTTCTATGTGATGTGGTGTCTTTCCCACCAAGGTGGCTAAGATATTAGTAAGCCGTTTAGCAATGTTGTATGTTACTGAGTTAATGCTGCTGATGATGGGTCTGAATGATGTTCCTTCCTTGTGCAATTTTGGGAGTCCATATAAGCATGGAATGTCCTCCCCTGGATATAATCTAAAATAAGCTGAACGGTTGATTATCTTGTCTTTTTCGAGTTGCTTGAGGTAGTCTGTGATTTTTTTTTTTTTCAATCTAAAGTCAAGTTAAGCCATGAATAAACACAATTCTTTTAAAGATATAAGTCTAATGTGTTATGACTACAAAAACAAGCCTACCGGTGAAACTGCTTGACGATACCATCCTTTAACAAGCCAACACAGTCAGCCAGTATTTTTTCAAAGCATTGTTTTTTCTTTCAACCTGTTGTTTTATGAGACCTGATTTTATTTAAAGTTGACTTGGTTTGATTCTAAATACTTCTCCAATCATTTTTTTGTTAGTGTTTCTTATTGTTAAAGGAACACTTTCTTCACCTACTGATGTATCTCTGAGTCATTCTGTTTACTAAGTAAGTCAAAGTAATGATTTTCTTAAGCAGCACTGCTAATGCAGTCTCTTGAACTAATTATATGCACTCTTGCTCAGTCAAGTTCAACCCTTTTTGTTTTCCTCAGAATTTAATCCAGCCTTTCCACACTTTCTGGATAAGAAGATGTTAATGTTGATTGAAGTTTTTAACTACATTTTTGTGCAGTATTTATGAGGCTTTATTACAATGTTATGTTGATGACTTTATTGAAGCCTCTACGTGATTTGAAAACTTGCATAGTTGGTAGTCTGCTTTGCACAGTAAGCAAAGTGTCAAACATGCTGCATATTTAATAGTTCTGCAATCCAAGAGCTTTAAGGATACAGTAATAAAGCACCGTGTTTGGTAAATGAAACCCAATAAACTCTGCTAGGGGTTCCCATCGAGCTACTATGCTGATTTACTGCACCACCATAGGCGGATAACTGTTGCTGCTAAAATGTGCTGATCAAGCTGTTTTTTATGGTGTTGTATAATCATTTAGTTTTAAGATTTTCTTTTTTTTGTCTCTTATTATTGTTAATCATGTTCCTTATTTTGCTGGGGTCAGTTTTTATTTTTTGTAAGGTTTTCTTATATTGTCCTTGTGCCATTTTATTGTTTTTAGTTTATGTCATATCCATGTAGTGTTAGATTTACATTAGTATTTTTGTCTAATTATGTCTTTTTGGTGCCAGTCTCTTCCCTCTTTTTCCAGCCTTCTCTCTGCACTGCCACCTTGGAAGGGACAGGAACTAAAGTATTTTATCTGATCTTTGTCCTGCTCTGGCTTCAGGTCCTCTCCAGCTGAAAATAACTTTCACTTGGCATTACACTGCTTTCAGTGTCAGAGATCGTCTTTAATTTCTTCTTCTCTTTATGACTTTATTTAAGATATATTTCCATCCTTATTGGTTTTAGTCTTCCGTTTCATTAATTGTATTTATTTGGATAGCACTCATTATGTTACTTTAATCAAAAGCAGCAATGCTTAATATGAATATGACTGATAAGGGAATACTGATTATAGGATAATTTCCTCTTTTGTCCTAAGCAGCCTTACAAAGCCTACTGTAAGCAGCCTAACAATAAATAATGCATTTTGCTTTCTTTAGTATATTTGGTTGCTCACAGCAGCTGTTTTGTGTTCTATTGCCTTAAGTTTAAAAATTTATTTTAAAATGTAGTTTATGTGTTTGTTGACTAAGTGCAACCTGTCTGTGTTTGTGTCACTAGGGTGACAGAGGTCCACCCGGCCCACCTGGACCTAAGGGATTTCCAGGACCACCGGTAAGACTGAATATATCTGGGTTTTTCTGGTTTTCTGCATCATTTAATATCAGGGGGAGAAAAACATTACCCTTCAAATCTTTGGCAAACCTTGTTTTAAAAATTTATCGATTAGCTATGAGAACAAAAATCAGTTGTTAATGTTCTCCACAGTTTATGAAAAAGAGTGATAGAACAATTATACATTTATAACTATCTTGCTTTTTATTGTATTCATTTGGAAAGGATAGCAGTTGCCCTGGTTTAAGTGATATTATTTGTGTTGCTATGCTGCTATTTTATCATAGTCAGAGCTTTTGGTCAGACATTTAGTTTGTAGGACTACTTGACTACTTTATGCCTTTTAGCCAAAGCTGAAAGGTTTTTAGTTTTCTACATTGTTTTATTTTGACCAGATGTTGTCACAAGTGCTTAAGCATTTCATGTCAAGTCAACATGCATTACACACCACAACTCACAATCTTATTTTCTGCCTGTGGTCAGTGTCTGACATAGACGAATTGGGTGTTGAAATGTGTTTCTGGCTTAAACCACCTAAGTTCAGATCGTTGCTGATATTGATGTGATTTTTTGGTTCCTTGTTCTTCCCATAAAGCTGTAAAAGTGGTTTCTATTTGAAATCTATGTGTATGGGTTCTTATTGTTGCTTACCTTATCTTTACCCTTTCAGGAAATCACACTGCTGTGTACTGTCATTTAAACTAATATACCATCCACTCTAACTTTGTCGTATCAGCTATTTTCTAAAAAAATGACTGGCTTGTTGCACTTTACGCCAAAGTGAGCTCTTCTATTGAATGTAAAGGTTCAAGCTTCAAAATTTGGAAGCAAGTCAGTACTCAGTTTTATTGTTCAGGGAACTCATTACTTCAGAAATAAACTGACCTTTTGGTATTTGGGAGTTGCGTCAAAGAACAAAACAAAATTTCCTTACGGACTAAATATTTCATTTAGAGAATTATATAGATGTTTATTTCATAAGTGAATATACTTTTTTTTTTACAGACAAGCAATATTTTACATCACTTGATGCACCACTATTTGTTTCCTTGTTTTCTCATTTGCACTGAAAAAAGGGACTTTTTTTTTTGTTTTTTTGGTCCTGTAAATATTACCTTTGTATTTATGTAAAAAAAAATTGCTAATTGCCATGTAAGGGCCTTTAATTCAAAATGAGATGTTTTATTTTTATGGTTACTTAGAATTAATTTGTAATCTATACCCATCAAAAGACATTTAAGCCGTCTTAACAAATAGGAATAACAAAACCATTGACATAAGTTCCCAGCTTAACAGACGCAAGTAGTATGTACTTGGATATTAGGAGTAAACCTGTTGCTTTTTTCCTTGCTGACCATGTTTTGGTCAGAAAAAGAAAACATTGTTTATTTGCTACAGTAGCTGCACGGTGGAGCAGTTCATGGCACTGGTCCAGGGTTATTCTCCATGGTGTTTGTATGTTCTCCCCATGCATACATGAGTTCTCTCCGGGTACTCCAGCTTCCTCCCACAGTCCAGAAACATGACTGTTTGGTTATTTGGCTTCTCTAGATTCTCCTTGTGTGTTACTAGCAAAACAATAGTACATTTTTTTTGTTGATAAGATAAATTTAGTAGTACAATTTAATCTTTAGTAAGTAAAAGCAACTTAATTTTTATTGACTGAGATTAATAAGAATTTCTATGTGAAAAATCTTACCCAGTTTTTTGTCTAAGTAAATAGTATTTACATTTTTTTTTCAGTGTGCTTGTACATTTGTAATATTTAGCATTTAATGGTGAGCCTTGATACTGCTCAATATATTAAGCAGCAAAATTATAGGAACAACTTTTGCAAACATATTATCTTCTTAATGGATGTTAACCAAGCAATATCATCATATACATCATTTTATAAATTGGAACAATTATTGTTGAGTTACTTGTATAACTTTCCAGTTTGTTCTGCTCTGTTTTTTTTTTCTTTTTTAATATAGTTAAAACATTTTCACTTTTTTTTGAAGGGTCCTAAAGGTTATCAAGGTGAACCTGGCCCACCAGGGGAACAAGTAAGTATTTCCTTTTTTAATTTAGTTATGATTGTGATAAAACAAATCAGATTTGACAAAGCATGGGCTGGTTAATTTGGGTTATAATCCCTTCTGGTCGTGGAATTGTTAACTGGCAGAGTTTAAAGTAATGAGTCACACCAAAAAGAATTGTATCTTTTTACATATTGAAAGAACAATAAGAACAAAATAAGAGTTCTAAATAAATTAATATTGCTGGAGATTCCCAATAATCCCAGGTTGAAAACAGTGATTACAACATTTTATGCAAGTCACATTTCATGCTCTTAAAGAAGAAGCTGGAAATTGCTCATTCTATGGTTCTCCCTTTTTTGCTCTCTTAATTTTACCCAAATTAACAAAGTCCTTATCAGTTATGTTGAAAAAAATGTTGAAAATAAATCGTAGTCGACAAACCTCCTTATTTACATGTTCACTTAGATTTTCCCGTTGCATGTTTATATTTATGGATTGCATCTACAAATATTAAAAATATTTTCAATTCAAACGATAGATATAAAATTAAACAATGGCTTAAATCATATTATAGGTCATCAAATCAGTGTCAGTTTAGTCTGTTAAAAGGGCTGCCTGTAGGAAATTTAAATGTCCAGCAGGTGACACAATATCAATACAGTTTGCAAATGTGTCAAAACGCTTCATGAGGCCTCATTAACCCATCACTAACGGACAGTATTGTCCCAAAAAACAAAATAATCTTTCAGTTATCTAGCCTTTGATGAGTTTTCATAAACTTTTCAAAGTTTCTAGCTTACCTGTTTGCAAATAGCGCAACATACTTGTCCCTGTCAATGAAATTTTCTGTAGTGATATTGAATATTCCACCAATAACAGCACCACTTGGTGCTGCGTCACTCCGACATATGACCAATTGGATGAGACTCCCGCAAAATGTGAGTTTAGCTCGAGATTACGTAACAGAGTAGAAGGGGAATTTCGGTCAAGATGGGATCAACAAATTTTGAACATTTCAGCCAACAACAGGCCGTACGATGTGTCCTTCTTTTAGTAAAGTCCATACAATATACGACTGTACGGCTGGCTAGCTAAAAGCCTGCTAGTGATATCAATGCTATCCTTGGTGTCAAAGTACAAACAATATCATAAATAGATACATGGATTACTTAGTTCTTACCTTGATGCTTAATCCCGCTTGGGTTTGTAATAAATGGAAATGTTAGTTTTCCTCGATGATCCGATAGCAGGTTGTGGGGTGGATTAAGTGGAACTCAGAGTTGCTTTTAATCAGTTTAATTATCATCACTTGGTCTTAGACCAAGCTGAGCTGCTCCTTTACTATAAGGCGTTATAGGACAGCCAAACTCTATTATGTAGCTGCCCTAATTGTCGTTTTCTTATTGGTCAGTAATTTTGCCAACACATGGCTCCATGGATTATGTCTGCTTATCACGCCCGACCCTGGCCTTACATTTAGGCTTAAAAAGGACTATTGGAACACTATCAGGATGGATAACCTTATCATGATTAAATGCCTTTTTGGGTCATATAACATCACTCTGCACCTTCAAAGTCATAAACCTATGGCCTGTTCCACCGTTGAGGATGTCCCACTGATGCTTACCAAAGCTAGAGCATGGCAGAGCATGTCTGGAGACAGATCCTCAATTTCTTTAGTAAGGCACTGGTCATCTTATAGATGTGATTGGGGGCAATATAATGTTGGAAATCTGCCCTGTGTTCCAGTTCCTAAAGAAGGAAATCATGCTTCGTTAAGCTTGTCAAGTACATGTTGGCCTTCATTGTTTCCCCATTGGGCAGTTGCTGGGTTCTTCATCAATTCCAAGTATTTCCCGGCTGGAGGAGAATCCTCCCCACCTCGTTGCTGCCTTATAAACTTGACAATGTCTAAATATTTTTATCTTATGACCAAAATAGACCTTGGGTCTATCTCGGTCAGAACTACCAAGGCATGTGGGTTGTGTGACCACTATTTTGACCGCATCTGATGATAAACCATGTTCGCTGTGTTCTTGTTGCCAACAGGAAATTTAAACATTTATTCAATCTTTGCAAGGACTAAATTGTCTCTAACTTTTATAACTTCACTATGATTCAGAAAGTTATTTCAAAATATTAAAAAAATGTGAGTTGTATATCCACTTTTGTGAGTTGTAGTATTACCATTTTACCTCCAAGTGCTAACAAATAATGTTACTGGCAGTTTTGAAAAAAAAGAGAAAAAAAAAAAACAGCAGGAGGGGGATGGGGCTGGTTAGAGCTTTCCAGGAAGCAACAGTTAGTAGACAGGGTTGTCTGGACTGAACAGTGCATGTTTTATTCTTGCAGACACTACTAGCAGAAGTCTGTGTTTCTCCTATTACAGTTCATCCCTTCCACCTAATCTCCTCATTCACTGTTCATTCACTTTCTCTCTCTTGTGATCCTTTTTTTTCTTGCTGAAGGGCATACCAGGACCTCCAGGGGAGTCAGGAGCTGCAGGTTACCCTGGCAGGCAGGTGCAGTGAAAAACACAAAGAACATTCCTCAATGAATTTTTCAAACCTTGTATTGTTCTACCAAACATTAAACCTTCCCCTGATGCTCTCTGCTGTGCTGTTCTGTACACATGACAGAATCTGTTTTTTTTTTTTTTATAAGAATGATTTAAATCTTGCCATATTCACGGTAGGTATTTTAACCACCTGCCAATGTCTGTGTTTTTTTGCATATGAAGGAATAAAATTGTGGTTAGAACTTTTTTTTTGTATCACAGTGAGGTTTATTGTCCTTTAAAAATGTGGTATTTTGATCTAAACCTTGTTTTTCTTTCAGGGCTTAGCTGGGCCAGAAGGTAGCCCTGGACCTAAAGGTGTACGTGTAAGTAAATTTGAGCTTTCATTTTTTCCTCTTTGCTTCTACAGCTTTGGATTTAACGGTTTATTTCCTGGAAGGTTAAAGAAAGTGTCAGGTGCTTAACTTTGCCCCATAGAGAAGGATCAGGATAATACTAGCATTTTCATCACCCTGCCTTATGGGAGTCATGTGAGGACTAGTGTGACATCGGGTTGTCATTCTGAGCCCTGACTTGTTCTTGTCATTGCAGCTCATCCTTCACAGAGAAATTCCCTTACAAAACGGAAAGATAGAGAATGGAGGATGAAGGAAAACAGATTAGGGAGAGTATGAAGGCAGAGAGTAAGGATAGATAAACGAGCTGGTGAAAGAAAGGGACTTTATGTGGAGAGCTGCTACTGGGAGAGAGAGGATAGCTGTGATTACTGTCAGGCTAAGGGTGACATGCTGAAAAGGATGGAAAGAGCTTTGATAAGGCTGAAGTGTAAGAGAAAGCGACATGCTGAGTTAGAAATAATAACAAAAATGATATCAACATTTTGTCAAATAGTTTTGTATTTCTTTCATTTTAGAAAAATCCAGCTTAATTTTGTATTATAATTTTTTAGGGGGTAAAAGTTTGATTATTGTGCATTACAAAAGTCCTCATAGCAATTTTTTGGAAGACCAACATAAAGTACCACAAACTATAAAGTAAAAAATATTATTTTGTTCTGATACCTATAATTACTAATCAGTAATATGGTCATTTTGTTCTCCTGAATTCTCACATGGAGAAATGTCAAGGATGCCCATCAGACTCAGGACTCTTAGACCAAGTTAAGTTTACTTTCCAATCCATCTGCAAGTATTAAGTTAAGTTGCTGATTTCAATGATCACTTCTGGTAGTTTGTATATCTTTAAACAAGCGAAATAGATACTGCTATAAATATTTTCTGAATGTTTTAATTTTACTGGCATTGGCCTGTAACACAGGGCTGCACTGGGTATGTAGCACTGTTTCCTCTCAGCAGGAACGCCCTGGATTCAAAATGTTCTCCCTGTGCATGTATGGCTTCTCTCTGGGTACTCAGGCTTCCTCCCACAGTTAAGAAACATGATTGTTAGATTAATTGGCATCTCTATATTATCCTTAGGTGTGTTTGTGTGTGTGTGTGTGTGTGTGTGTGTGTGTGTGTGTGTGTGTGTGTGTGTGNCTTCCTCCCACAGTCCAGAAACATGACTGTTTGGTTATTTGGCTTCTCTAGATTCTCCTTGTGTGTTACTAGCAAAACAATAGTACATTTTTTTTGTTGATAAGATAAATTTAGTAGTACAATTTAATCTTTAGTAAGTAAAAACAACTTAATTTTTATTGACTGAGATTAATAAGAATTTCTATGTGAAAAATCTTACCCAGTTTTTTGTCTAAGTAAATAGTATTTACATTTTTTTTTCAGTGTGCTTGTACATTTGTAATATTTAGCATTTAATGGTGAGCCTTGATACTGCTCAATATATTAAGCAGCAAAATTATAGGAACAACTTTTGCAAACATATTATCTTCTTAATGGATGTTAACCAAGCAATATCATCATATACATCATTTTATAAATTGGAACAATTATTGTTGAGTTACTTGTATAACTTTCCAGTTTGTTCTGCTCTGTTTTTTTTTTCTTTTTTAATATAGTTAAAACATTTTCACTTTTTTTTGAAGGGTCCTAAAGGTTATCAAGGTGAACCTGGCCCACCAGGGGAACAAGTAAGTATTTCCTTTTTTAATTTAGTTATGATTGTGATAAAACAAATCAGATTTGACAAAGCATGGGCTGGTTAATTTGGGTTATAATCCCTTCTGGTCGTGGAATTGTTAACTGGCAGAGTTTAAAGTAATGAGTCACACCAAAAAGAATTGTATCTTTTTACATATTGAAAGAACAATAAGAACAAAATAAGAGTTCTAAATAAATTAATATTGCTGGAGATTCCCAATAATCCCAGGTTGAAAACAGTGATTACAACATTTTATGCAAGTCACATTTCGTGCTCTTGAAGAAGCTGGAAATTGCTCATTCTATGGTTCTCCCTTTTTTGCTCTCTTAATTTTACCCAAATTAACAAAGTCCTTATCAGTTATGTTGAAAAAAATGTTGAAAATAAATCGTAGTCGACAAACCTCCTTATTTACATGTTCACTTAGATTTTCCCGTTGCATGTTTATATTTATGGATTGCATCTACAAATATTACAAATTTTTTCAATTTAAACTATAGATATAAAATTAAACAATGGCTTAAATCATATTATAGGTCATCAAATCAGTGTCAGTTTAGTCTGTTAAAAGGGCTGCCTGTAGGAAATTTAAATGTCCAGCAGGTGTCAGTATCCAGTGACACAGTATCGACACAATATCAATACAGTTTGCAAATGTGTCAAAACGCTTCATGAGGCCCCATGAACCCATCACTAACGGACAGTATTGTCCCAAAAAACAAAATAGTCTTTCAGTTATCTAGCCTTTGATGAGTTTTCATAAACTTTTCAAAGTTTCTAGCTTACCTGTTTGCAAATAGCGCAACATACTTGTCCCTGTCAATGAAATTTTCTGTAGTGATATTGAATATTCCACCAATAACAGCACCACTTGGTGCTGCGTCACTCCGACATATGACCAATTGGATGAGACTCCCGCAAAATGTGAGTTTAGCTCGAGATTACGTAACAGAGTAGAAGGGGAATTTCGGTCAAGATGGGATCAACAAATTTTGAACATTTCAGCCAACAACAGGCCGTACGATGTGTCCTTCTTTTAGTAAAGTCCATACAATGTACAACTGTACAGCTGGCTAGCTTAAAGCCTGCTAGTGATATCAATGCTATCCTTGGTGTCAAAGTACAAACAATATCGTAAATACGTAGATACATGGATTAATTAGTTCTTACCTTGATGCTTAATCCCGCTTGGGTTTGTAATAAATGGAAATGTTAGTTTTCCTCGATGATCCGATAGCAGGTTGTGGGGTGGATTAAGTGGAACTCAGAGTTGCTTTTAATCAGTTTAATTATCATCACTTGGTCTTAGACCAAGCTGAGCTGCTCCTTTACTATAAGGCGTTATAGGACAGCCAAACTCTATTATGTAGCTGCCCTAATAGTCGTTTTCTGATTGGTCAGTGATTTTGCCAACACATGGCGCCATGGTTTATGTCTGCTTATCACGCCCGACCCTGGCCTTACATTTAGGCTTAAAAAGGACTATTGGAACACTATCAGGATGGATAACCTTATCATGATTAAATGCCTTTTTGGGTCATATAACATCACTCTGCACCTTCAAAGTCATAAACCTATGGCCTGTTCCACCGTTGAGGATGTCCCACTGATGCTTACAAAAGCTAGAGCATGGCAGAGCATGTCTGGAGACAGATCCTCAATTTCTTTAGTAAGGCACTGGTCATCTTATAGATGTGATTGGGGGCAATATAATGTTGGAAATCTGCCCTGTGTTCCAGTTCCTAAAGAAGGAAATCATGCTTCGTTAAGCTTGTCAAGTACATGTTGGCCTTCATTGTTTCCCCATTGGGCAGTTGCTGGGTTCTTCATCAATTCCAAGTATTTCCCGGCTGGAGGAGAATCCTCCCCACCTCGTTGCTGCCTTATAAACTTGACAATGTCTAAATATTTTTATCTTATGACCAAAATAGACCTTGGGTCTATCTCGGTCAGAACTACCAAGGCATGTGGGTTGTGTGACCACTATTTTGACCGCATCTGATGATAAACCATGTTCGCTGTGTTCTTGTTGCCAACAGGAAATTTAAACATTTATTCAATCTTTGCAAGGACTAAATTGTCTCTAACTTTTATAACTTCACTATGATTCAGAAAGTTATTTCAAAATATTAAAAAAATGTGAGTTGTATATCCACTTTTGTGAGTTGTAGTATTACCATTTTACCTCCAAGTGCTAACAAATAATGTTACTGGCAGTTTTGAAAAAAAAGAGAAAAAAAAAAAACAGCAGGAGGGGGATGGGGCTGGTTAGAGCTTTCCAGGAAGCAACAGTTAGTAGACAGGGTTGTCTGGACTGAACAGTGCATGTTTTATTCTTGCAGACACTACTAGCAGAAGTCTGTGTTTCTCCTATTACAGTTCATCCCTTCCACCTAATCTCCTCATTCACTGTTCATTCACTTTCTCTCTCTTGTGATCCTTTTTTTTCTTGCTGAAGGGCATACCAGGACCTCCAGGGGAGTCAGGAGCTGCAGGTTACCCTGGCAGGCAGGTGCAGTGAAAAACACAAAGAACATTCCTCAATGAATTTTTCAAACCTTGTATTGTTCTACCAAACATTAAACCTTCCCCTGATGCTCTCTGCTGTGCTGTTCTGTACACATGACAGAATCTGTTTTTTTTTTTTTTATAAGAATGATTTAAATCTTGCCATATTCACGGTAGGTATTTTAACCACCTGCCAATGTCTGTGTTTTTTTGCATATGAAGGAATAAAATTGTGGTTAGAACTTTTTTTTTGTATCACAGTGAGGTTTATTGTCCTTTAAAAATGTGGTATTTTGATCTAAACCTTGTTTTTCTTTCAGGGCTTAGCTGGGCCAGAAGGTAGCCCTGGACCTAAAGGTGTACGTGTAAGTAAATTTGAGCTTTCATTTTTTCCTCTTTGCTTCTACAGCTTTGGATTTAACGGTTTATTTCCTGGAAGGTTAAAGAAAGTGTCAGGTGCTTAACTTTGCCCCATAGAGAAGGATCAGGATAATACTAGCATTTTCATCACCCTGCCTTATGGGAGTCATGTGAGGACTAGTGTGACATCGGGTTGTCATTCTGAGCCCTGACTTGTTCTTGTCATTGCAGCTCATCCTTCACAGAGAAATTCCCTTACAAAACGGAAAGATAGAGAATGGAGGATGAAGGAAAACAGATTAGGGAGAGTATGAAGGCAGAGAGTAAGGATAGATAAACGAGCTGGTGAAAGAAAGGGACTTTATGTGGAGAGCTGCTACTGGGAGAGAGAGGATAGCTGTGATTACTGTCAGGCTAAGGGTGACATGCTGAAAAGGATGGAAAGAGCTTTGATAAGGCTGAAGTGTAAGAGAAAGCGACATGCTGAGTTAGAAATAATAACAAAAATGATATCAACATTTTGTCAAATAGTTTTGTATTTCTTTCATTTTAGAAAAATCCAGCTTAATTTTGTATTATAATTTTTTAGGGGGTAAAAGTTTGATTATTGTGCATTACAAAAGTCCTCATAGCAATTTTTTGGAAGACCAACATAAAGTACCACAAACTATAAAGTAAAAAATATTATTTTGTTCTGATACCTATAATTACTAATCAGTAATATGGTCATTTTGTTCTCCTGAATTCTCACATGGAGAAATGTCAAGGATGCCCATCAGACTCAGGACTCTTAGACCAAGTTAAGTTTACTTTCCAATCCATCTGCAAGTATTAAGTTAAGTTGCTGATTTCAATGATCACTTCTGGTAGTTTGTATATCTTTAAACAAGCGAAATAGATACTGCTATAAATATTTTCTGAATGTTTTAATTTTACTGGCATTGGCCTCTAACACAGGGCTGCACTGGGTAGGTAGCACTGTTTCCTCTCAGCAGGAACGCCCTGGATTCAAAATGTTCTCCCTGTGCATGCATGGCTTCTCTCTGGGTACTCAGGCTTCCTCCCACAGTTAAAAAACATGATTGTTAGATTAATTGGCATCTCTATATTATCCTTAGGTGTGTGTGTGTGTGTGTGTTTTTTGGTTGTATGTCTTTCTGGGTCTCTGTGTTACCCTGTTTTAGACTAGCGACCTCACCTGGGTTTACCTGCCTTTTGCTTGTAGACTGCTGCCTACAAACTAAACAAAGTGTGAATAAAGCCATTCTAACAAAACCAATGGCGCACAAATTATAGATTGCGTTGCTAGATTGTAAAACTATATCAGAAGTAAGGAAGAGTAAGGAAGTAAAATAAAAATAATAATGATTATAAAATTGTTGATGGAAAGGTCTCTAAATTCCAGTTTGCAGTTGGCTACGCCCCGAAAACAGTCCTCATGTGAAAGAAGCTGCTGTGACTAGATGAAACCAAAAATCTTTTTTTTTTTTTTTTTCAAAAAGTGCAGCAGTGGGGATTAAAAGATGCACTGTAAACCTCAACACATCATTTCAACATTAAGATAAATGGCAGTGGGATGATGTGGGGATATTATAGTCTTCAGCAGTGTCAGAGTGACAAAACATGTAGATGTGATAATCAAAGCACAATCTAAATAATAATAAAGTGTGACAAGACTTGTTTTCATTTTAATAGATTATTTTCATTCTTTCTGACTGAGCTTGAGCTATTTTGCAGATAAGAAGACTGAATTTCATAAATGTTCAAAGCTGGCAGTCTACATCAAAATACTTTTAGCTGTGAATAAAGCAAAAGGTAGTTTTACAAAGTATTGTTTCAAGGATTTAATACATATACAAATCACTCTTTTCAGATTTTTACTTGTTAGAAAAGCATCTATGATATTTACTGTATGCTTCTTCGTGTTATGTTTTTCTAGCATACAGTAATAAGCAGTATAGTTGATTGTTTTAGTGTGTTCCCTGAAACATGAATATATATATATATATATATATATATATATATATATATATATATATATATATATATATATATATATATATAGTACCCTTTGCATATTGCTTATTCGTCATAATTTACTCACAGTGACTAAACTGAAGATCATGAGCTCAGGAGATTTTAATTAAAACAATTTAAATGCATAAAAAAATAGCTCAATAACAGGATATTGTTGGTTTTATTCTTAATACATAATTTTTTTTCGAGGCTATATACGGTGGACC